GTGTTCATCGTGTAATTTTGTGTTCTGTGAAAAAATTTTGTAAAAATAAACTTTCTGCTCTGAATGAGAATTTTGTGACAATCTACAGCACATTCATCAGAGCCTCTTTAAAACCACACAGAACTTCGTGTGCACTGATGCCTCTGGTGTGTGTCTGCATCTTTTGCAGTGAGAAAGAGTTCTTGCTGCCCACACAGAGTGTGGGTTTGCATCAAGCATCAGCCCTTTGCTGGGCCTTCGATTGCTCCCCGCTCCCTCTGTCTGTGGGTGTGGAATTTGGGGTCCTTCGGAAGTGTCTCCCCCCTGCAACAGAGCTCAGTGTCAAAACCTGTATGAAGAGACAGTCTGAATTCTTCTTTAATTCTTGAAATTGAAGACATCAATGTCTCTATTTGGCTACACCTCATCAAAGGGCAGTGGAAAACAACTCCCCATGGGAGCAAAGACCATGGGTGGGTCAGAAACTACCAGTATTGATGATAAGCTCTGGATGTTTCCTGGTGATTTGCTGTATGGGCATGTGGCACTTGTCCTTCCATTGATGTAGATGCCACGTGCAGCTTCCTGCACTTGCTCCCTCGTTCCTCCTTGGGTGTATTTTACTTGCTGTTGATGAGGTTTATTCATAGCCTCTTGTGATACTCACACAGAGCCTCAGGCCAGGCGCTCTTCCAGTGCAAGTGGGCTCTGCTTCCTGTGCCTTCCATGCAGGGCAGGTGCTGCAATCTCTGATTTCCCTTGGGCATAACCCTAGATTGGCATCTCTTCCCACTGCCATTTCTTAACAGTCCTGGAAATGGCTTTGGAATGTGTGTGTGCCTGAACTAATGTGGTTTTTTGGAGTATGTTGGATGTCTGAGGAGTTTTGTGGCCATTAGTCACGGTGTAAAACACGGCAGCAAGATAACATTACTGGAATCATCCAGGACACTTGATCTTGTGATGGAAGTTTCTGAAGAGTGTTGTTCCGGGTGTTAATCCAGCCCAGATGAAGCCCTCTGGAAGAGAAGGGATCCTGCTCCTTGTTACTGCTGCCATCCTTGTGTTCGAGCTCAAGCCAAGTGTTTTTTGGCTTGATCCATCATACTGCTCAGCCACAGAGCGTGAGGAAGGATGGGAAAGTCCCCTTTGGTGGCAGCCCAGGAGCAGTGAGAGTTCAGCATTCCCAGAAAGCCAAGGCCAGTGTCGGGAGTGTGGGGGAATCAAAGATTTGGGTTTTTGGCTTTGATGTCTGCATTTGCTCTCATTCCAGCAGTGATGCTTTAATCTACAAAATGCTTTGCTAGGTTTTCGCTGTGCTCAGCTTGAATTTCTTCCAAGACATCACTGCTGAAATAGCAGAATTTGCCTGTGGATTCCAGTGCAGCAATCAGTCTGTGTTTATTGGGGTGATAAACTTCCTGTGAGAGTGAGGGTGGAGTGGGCCTTTTCCATGTAGCTGAGCCAAATCACTCAGCAGCGAGACCAAAGCCGTTAAGGAAATAGAGATGATTTCTGCTTGCAGCAGTCTCTGCTGTAATAAACTGGTTTTTCTCCAAAGGAGAACCTGCACATATCATGCTTGTATTTTCTTCCCTTAGTGTATTGCTCTTGTTTGATACCATGGAGAAATTCCTAGTTCTGATGTGGTTTCATGCATTAATTGCATTAAGCAGATCATGGTTTGTACTTTGAGTGTTGAGTTTGTACCTTTGAAGCCTCAGTATAAGACTCTGCTCTGCTGGTGGCTTTTCATCCCACAGTCTCTGAATTCAGAGCTGCTCACCTATAGCATGACACCGTGGCTTTGTGTGACCTTTCCAGTCCTCTCCCAGTGTGATTACTCTCCATTAAAAACCTCAACTCCATCTGCCAAGGCAAAAAAGTCCTTTTTCCTCCATCAATCTCTTTAGTTGCCAACATCCTTCTTAAGTATTTACGGATCTGCTGGTGATATTTATGGAGTTCTTGTGGTTCACTGGAACAACGGACTCAGCACCAGGACACGATGCTTTTCACTGAAACAGCCAAGCTACGTCATAAATTAGGCAGATGAGACAAAATCAAATTTTATGCAGATTTTCTTAGGCTGACCCTTTTTACTGTTCAGAATGGCTCTGGAGCTGCCTGTATCACATGTTTCTTCCAGTCTTATGTGCCAACAGCCTTTAATGTGTACATTAAGTTCATCTTTCTTCTTCCCAAAAAGATGGTGAATGTTTGAGTGAGCTGAGGATGTGTTGCACCAAGTCCCTCCCAATAACTAGTGTGGATCTGGGGATCCTTGGCTTGGGCTGGGAGCTCCACAGGGCTCATCAGTGATGCTCCTTTGACCCAGGACACAGCCAGCTCTGGAAATCAGAGAGATGTTACAGCAGCTTTATCCTGGCAAAGGCAAGAGGGAAGTCCTTGACTGCAGAGCTGGCAGTCAGGGAAAATCCCCAGGGAAAAATCAAACCCTAAAAATACGCCTGAAGCCAATGATACCTCCTGTATTCTGATATTTAGGATGATTTTTTTATGTTCTTCACTGAGGCCTCACCTTGTCAGAGTTCCCACAGAAAGCAGAGCCTTCCTGAGGCTTTAAGACGAAGAGGGTACTCCAAGCCCTTGGCTGTAAGCTCTGAGTAGGTAGAGCTGAAGGAATTGGGATCCCAGAGAGCACTAAGTAGTGTTGCTTCCTTCCCTACATGAAATCCTCACTTTTTGAGACTTGCTGGTTCTTATGCCCAGTAGGAAATTAATTTTATTTTCAATGCTTGCTCCTTACCGAGTGAGGCTGTGTAAAAGTTCTCATCTGCCCCTGGTCTGGGAACAGGATCCTTCACCTTCCTTAAGAGCCTTTCTGCAATTTTATTCTCCTGCATACCTTAGTTAGCAGAGTTCTAATCCTAATTCCTTCCTCAGTTCCACTACTTGAAACTTGTAGAAATTGTGGTGGAGGTACTCATTGTCTGTCTGTGTCTAGAATCTATAAAGGGCTCAGGTTTAAACTTTGCATAAAATATTCTGTTACTTTCTTATTCTTTATTATTATTCTATTATTCTCTAAAAATAGAGATGCTGATCTTGGTGTTAGAGGTGACTTTGTAGGTAAGTCCTCATCAGACTTTGCTGAAAACCCAGTGGCTCACCATGAGTCACTTCAAGAGCTGTTGCAATTATTCCAGCCTTCAGCACTAAGCTGATGACATTAAATTGCCATTTGTGTTGATTTGGGGATATTTGAAAGAGTCCTGGAGCTGCCTGGATCATATCACATTATTGTTTGGCTTTCTGAATTGCTTCTGCATCAAACCATCCTGTGTTCCTAGAGGACTTAATGGCTGTTACTGCTTCCTAAAGCATGGAGCTCTGTTAGGAGCCTCCCAAACCTCCCAGGTTGGGTCAGTTTTACATGGGACACAAAACACTGGTTAGACAGGGAATTCCTGCAATACTCTGTAATATCCCGTTAATGCATCCTGATGACAGATTCCCTGAGCATGTGAATGAATGAGATTAAAACCTTCCTCGGGTAATCTTTGTGGAACTGCACCTTGTTCTTTTGGAGCAGTACTTGGGAGCACAAGTTCTGTGATATTTAAACTTTAGTAATCTCAATGCTGGATTTGTTACATTGTTGGCAGGTTGCAGAGGTCCCAGTTAGGGTGGATTAATGGGTTTTCCCTAAATCTGGAGTAGGACACACACTTGTTGTGTTGCTGGTGCGCTCTAGCCTGAAATGTTTCACTGCCTGAGTAGCTCACCGAGCCCACACCAAACTGTGCACCTAATTAGTTGAGTATTTTGCTATATCTAACATTGATCCAATGCAAATCCAGGTGTGTGCCTGCACTTCTTTAAAACATGCCGTAAAATGAATAATCACAGTGCTTTCAGGTCCCATGCACTATAATTTATGGATCTCTGGGATAAAAGACTGCACACAAAGCACTGCTCCCTGTGCTCAGCTTTTACACTGAAATAGCAGGACTCTGTATCTTCAGGAATTCAAGCAAATATTTTCTTTTGATATAAGACAAAGCCCTGTATTTCAAAACAAAACCTTTCTGTTGTGTTTTGGAGTTGCTTATGAGGTGTAGACTGGAATTACATAGATATTTAAACATGTTACCCAGCAGTGACACTGGGACACCAAGTGCTGGTGCAGGTGCTGATTAGCAAAATGAGCAGTTGGAACTGCACTAAATTCCTCCTGTATGGGCTGCTGTGGTTTCCTTTTTGACCCAAAGGTAATTCCAGGAGTGCTGTGCAGCTCTGTGAGTCTTCCAACATCAAGGCTGTCTTTTTCCCTTTCCTTCTGATGCCTTTCAGAAAGCTGATCCACCCAAAACTCCCCTGCCAGCTGAGTATCAACACTGTACTCCCACAGAGCAGTCTGTTGGGTGGGAAGATGGGCTCTGGCTCCAATGTTGATAGCTGTGTGAGTGCACATATGCTAATGACCATGATCATCTATTTTTGTGTGGTGATTGGTCAAAATTTAAAACTTTCCCCTATTTTAAAGGAAAAGGTTTTTTTCCTTTTTACTGAGTGTAAACTTTGTGTAAGGTTGTGCTGAAAAACAAGGACTAGGTGTCACCTTTGGTGACAAAGCAGCCCTTTTTTGACCATGCTTCATTTTGTCCAAGGACTGTCATCTTCCTGATGTCTCCAACAAGTGCCAGCCCACATCTGGGGCTGTTCTCTGCCTGGTGTTCAGTGGAACACAGGGAACTCCGTGTCTTGTTCCCGAAATCCAGGCCTTTAAGCTGCCAAAGCTCAATGCTTTCAGGTGGTCTTGTTAATTGCTCTGAAATGCATTTGTCTGCATAAGGGTGTAGCTGAGCAGAGCCTGCACTGGTTTGCCTTTGGTTCAGTCACAGTTTGTGCTGGAACTTATTTCCTTGCTGGGCAGCATCAGAGAGAATACTCAAGAAATGACAATAAAACTGTGCCTAACAAAAGGTGTGCATGCAGGGGGAGGGGAATTAACTTTGTCCCATTGACTGATTCCAGTTCTTTTCCTATTTTTCCAGCTGAAGGGCTCCCCCAGGTGTATTATTTCGGACCTTGTGGAAAGTACAACGCCATGGTCCTGGAGCTGCTTGGTCCGAGCTTGGAAGATCTGTTTGACCTCTGTGACAGGACGTTCACTCTGAAGACGGTGTTAATGATCGCCATTCAGCTGGTGAGTGATGGGCAGGGCCCTGCCCTGGCATCTCCTTGGCTGTCCAGCCATCCCAGGGTTGGCACAGGGTAAGGGTCAGGGCTGAGAGAATCTCCTCCCATCATAGGATCACCGCGTGGTTTGAGTTGCAAGGAACCTTCAAAGATCCAATCCCACCCTCCTTGCCACAGGCAGGGACACCTTCCACTATCCCAGGGTGCTCCAAGCCCTGTCCAACTTGGCCTTGAACATTTCCAGGCATGAGGCAGCTACAGCTTCTCTGGGAAACCTGTGCCAGAGCCTCACCACCCTCACATTCTTTGCAATATCCCGTCTAACCCTGTGTTCTGGCAGCAGGAAGCCATTTCCCCTTGTCCTGTCACTCCAGTCCCTTGTCCAAGGTCCCTCTTCATCTTTCTTACAAAAGCAAACTTCTGAGGTGAGAGGGACTCCTGCCTCTGAAGGGAAGGTCAGATTATGCTTATGAGAAGCTGGCTCCCTGCGCAGCAGAACCAGTGAAGCTGGATTCCTACGGACTTGTGCCCCTACAGGTCCCTGCCCCGGTACCTTCCCCAGCTCCCTCCCTCTGTTTGGACATTCCAGGAACATCACATTTCTCACCCACTCCGTGGGACACAGCACCCTCCCACACTCAGAACCTACCAGTTCTACTGGTTTGGTGCTCCTGGCTGCCCATAGACTGGAGCCTCACGGGGCAATGGGAGCTCAGCCCTCCTTAGCCAAAATACCAGCATTTGAGAACTCTGCCTTAGTCAAAATTGGCCAAAAATTTGGTCAGTGAAATGGGTTTAAAGTACTGACACTTGGAATATAATAGTTCTATGAACAAAACCACAGAGCTTTTAATGTACCTGAAAAGGAAAGGAAATCAAGCTGGAAGGGATCGAGGCTTGGATGTGGATTTGTATTAAAAGGGAACAAGGAGAAAGCTGAACATACTAAATACAGTGTGGAAACTTCCACCAGTCAGTGGGGACAGCCAGTCAATTTGGCTTTTCTGGTTTTCAGACTGGTTTGCAGATTCTCCAGTATCTAAATACCTGCAGATCTCCAGATCTTGGATAGCTGCACCTTGGGATCACCCAGATACTCCACAGCAGAGTTGGGATTGTATATTCACACTGAAAGCTCCACAGATGGAAGCATGATAGGGAAGAGGATATGTAAGGGATGAGGAACACAATCCTTTCCAGATAAACTGAAGTTTGACACAGGAGAATCTCAAATGGCAAACTGAGGTCAGAAATGCAGAAGTTTGAACAGCACCTGCCTGGTACTAAGGCCTCCCACAGCAGAGCAGTCAAGCTCTTCGGTTTTGAATGTTTCTTTATCAATGGAAAACCAATTTATAGTATTGGCTTTGATTAAATCAAGTGGCAACAGCTGGCAAAGCCTCAGATATAGCTTGTGTGACCTTTGGAGAGAAAATAAAAATATGTAAATTCATTCCCAAGGGATTTCTGGGGAAATCAAGATTGTCACAGCCATGGCTGATGCCTTTTTGCCAAGTCCCAGGGCTGCAGCTCAGCTCTGGGCTTGGATGTTCTTCACTGGCATCACCTGTTGATCTTGTGGCCAGGCTGCAGCTCACTGGGGCACTGCTGCCAGTTGGAAAACACATGCTGAGGCTTATGCAGGGGGACAGCAAAAGCAGTCAGAAATGGAGGAGCAGATGTTCTCTGGAGGGATCAGATGCTCCTTTGGCCATGGGGAGATGTTGTAGGGCCTTCTCAGTCTCCTCAGGGAGATTACATGGAGTGTGCACATTTAAGGAGACAGATTCAGCATCTTCAGGTGTGCCCCATCACCTGGCCCTGGGAAAAGTATTTTCCAAAGGGGCTGGCACTTACTGCTCGGATGAAATGAAAACCCTTAGCTCCAGCCACAAGGCTTTAGGCAAGATTGTCCTTCTCCCACACTAAATGATTGCAGTCACTGTGTCACAGTCCAGTGTGAGACACATCAGAAAGGAAAGCTGGTCTCTCAAACTCCTTGGGTTCACATCCATGAATTACATTTTGTTCTTGCTTCTGACCAGCCAAGTCTGCTTAAGCTGCTGTGATTCTAACCATGGGCATTTGTCCCCTTATCTTTCTCCTCTTACTTAAGGATGATCCCCATGTCTGTCAGAGCATCCAGTCCCATGGTCAATTTTTAGCCAGAGACATCCTGGAAAGATATTTTTTAATATGTATTTCTGCTTGGCTAGTGTGAATGAGCTCGACAGGCTGCAGCATCGCAGGACTGGGGGTGGATCCTTTACAGATGTTAGAAGAAAGAGGAGTTTCTCTAGGAAAAACAAGGGCAGTGTCTCTTAGGAAGTGCCACATGGGATTACAGCAGAATTCAAACATAGTTTTACATCAGGAAGGCTCTCCTGGCTGAGGGTGAGAGGGACTGGATGACAATGAGTCTTCAAGAAAGACAGCCTGTTTGGGAATTGTTCAGACTCAATCTGCTTCCTCCATACTCCACATGCAGCTGAAGACATCCAGTAGATCAGATCCAGCCGGTGAAGCTCCTGAACAAAGCCAGGCTTGGCAATTAAAACGTGGTCACTATGTTATCCCTGCAGCCCATAAATTCGAGGAGAATTGTTTTTTATTCAGATTTCTGTTTTTCACTCTTGGCCAGGTCCAGCCTGTATGATGCTCACTGACAGTTTACAGCAAGCTCTGTTGTGCCACTGAAAAATACTCTGGATGTGTTCTGGACCAAGTTGTGGCAAGATGGTTTTCTATCGGTGACCATCAGAATTGTCTTTGAACAAGATTAATTTCATTCTCTGCTGATCTGACCTATATTTAAGCAGGTGATGTGTGGAAGAAGGGCTCAAATTTATCAGGAAGGTCTAGAGATGGAACTGCTGTCAGGATCAGCCTGTTAAGAGCTACCTTTCTGGGAGAAGATTTGTTATATTTGCTGCCTTGGCAGGAGGAAGGCAAATGAAAGGTTGCTTTGGCACCTGCTAAATGTCACGATATCCTCTCATTTCTCCATCACAGCACAGGGGTCCTGCTGTGTGCCAAGGGATTCTCCCCCCTCCTAAGGGTTTCTCTGACATCTGAAATGGAGATTAATGGCTCCAAGCATGGACTCAGCTGGCCGTGGTCATGGAAATCCCTCTGTAATTCACACTCTTACGTGTACAGGAGTGTTCCAGCGGTAGAGCAATTCCAAGTTAGCCCCAGTTCCACAAGTGGTTTCTCTGCCCCTGAAAGAATGAATTTGGAGTGTTTGAGCCTGTATTTCAAACCCAAAGGAGTAGGCACTGCACCTCTACATCCAGCACATTTCTGAAGTGGGAACTCTACTTCCCCTCTCCTTCAGCCACGCCATGGGTTTGATGCCGAGGTTGTGTGTGTGCTCAGGCAGGGTCTGGAAGGGAAATGCAGCCCAGACACTCCACGTCACAGCAGCCACGGGCAGGGAGAGTGTCTGTCAAGGTGAATAAAGCATGGAAGCTACTCCAGGAAACATCTTTTTGACTCGGGGAGCGTCTTTCAGCTGCCGTGGCTGAGCAAAGCTCTCCAGCATGAAGCGTCCTGGCAGGTGGAAGTAAAGAAGGAATATGAAAGACCCCACAGCAGCTATGTGTGTGTGGTGGAAGCAAAAAAGGCAGGTGGGAGGAAAAAAGGCAGGAAAATAAGTACCTTAGAGTGCTGCTGAAGCATATTGGCTCATCTGACACCTCAGCTGTCCAGGTTGTTGTCCTGCCTGCTGCAACTTGCTGAGAGTTTTTAAAGAAGAAAAGAATGGCCTCTTTTCAGGTTCTCTAATTGCTGTTGGGATTTCAACAACTGAGCTGCTCTGGTAGCAGGAACAAATCAAATGAGCCAGTCAGGCTCTGCTTGGAAGCTTGTTATGTGTGGAGAGGCAAGGAAGCTCTTTGTTTCACTTTCAAGGGTTGCATCTTCATTTGAATTGCCTCTCAACATGGCTTTTTGTCTCACAACCTGCTGCTGTGTCCTGTAGGTGATTCAAAGTGTGAAGAATGACTGAAGAGCATCTGCTCTTCTCTGCACCAGCCAGTAATTGATTGGAAACAATGGCTGTTAGCCATGAAACCCATTTTCTCGGCACATTGGAATCAATCACTGCGTTGAGGAGAGGGAGCAGCAGCACGTGCTGCTCCCTTCTTTGAAGAGTCTTTGAGTAAATTCTATTTTTTAAGCCTGATTCACCTGCAGCCAATTTTTTCCTGTCTGCTGCCCTCTCTGTAGAGCTGTTTATTTTATAAGGAGGGATGCCCCCCTCCTGCCTGCTGCTTCTTTCCAAGAGGTGGAAATGCAGCAGATTTTCCTTTAAAAGAAGGTGCATGGTAAGGGCCTGGGAGTGCGATGGAGGATCACATGCTTGTGGACATTTAAAACCAGCTGTGGGTCCAAGATCTGTGAAAGGAAAGAGTGGTCTCGGTTTTCCAGCTGGGAATGTGTCTGGATTCAGTGAGAAATCCAGGAGCAGGCAGGGTCTGCCAGCCCAACGAAGTGAGCAGGGGGGTTGGATGGGGGTCCCTGCTGCTTGGCTGGGGGAGAGGGAGAGCTGGCTCAGTGACCCAGAGACTGCAGAGCTTTCTCTCCAGAATCCACCCGGGGGGGTGACCAGCTGGTAACCCTCACCCTGGATGTCCTGTCCCCTGCAGCAGCATGGCAGTGACCTCTGGGGACTTAGGCTCCTTAGTGACAAACTGGGACTTGGTGGGGCTTTGCAGAGGTTTAGTGGCATTGCTGGCTCACAGATACCTGGGTCAATCCCAATAGCCTTTCCAAAGAAGTATCTTGTTAAGTTACTGTGCCCTCTGTCATGCAGGGCAGCTGCGAGCAGGACAGCCATAAATGGGGGTTCATGTGTGTTCATTTGAAACGTAAAAAGGCAGTTAAAGGTAATAAATGAAATTAAATTGGAACTATTTTCAGTTGGAATCATCTCCTAAGTGCAGGACCCAAAGGAGAACTGCTTGACAGCCTGTTCAGACATCACCTGCAATATGTTTGGTTTCAAAAGCAATTTTAATTATGAACTTATGAATAAGGTGTATTGTTAGAGGCACTCCATCACCTCAGAAGTGGGGTTCCTGCCCTTTCACCTTCCCGTTCAGTCAAACTTCCAGAAAAATGTTAGTCAAAAGCTGAGAAACATTCCAGCTACTCCTAGTTGACAGCAATGAGATTAATTATTATTTTTGTCAGCTCTGAAGATCGTAAAGCTTCTGCCTGCCCAAAAATCCCCCTCTGTGAGGAATCTGGCATGTCTTAGACAACATATGGGTTGAGGGAGGAAGGTGGTAAGACACAGAGCAACAGGGGAAGGCGGTGGGCAAGGGAAGAGCTCTTGGTAACTGGTTTAGTATGTTTAAAATCAATACAAAAAGGCTGCTGCAGCTCCCCGTGGCACCCTGCCAAGAGCTGCATCCCAGTGGTAACGCCTCAGAAACAGCCTTTGCCATTTCCCTGGGAATAAAGCAGGGAGCACAGCATGATAGCCTTGGAAAGGAGGGGATGGCAAATTCCTCTTGCAGCTGTGCTGGGAGCCAGAGTTGTGCTCACAAGTAAGGCTTTAACGTTTCCCTCGTGGTTTCGCAGATCTCTCGGATGGAGTATGTGCATTCCAAGAATCTCATCTACCGCGATGTCAAGCCGGAGAACTTCCTCATTGGCCGGCAGGGCAATAAGAAGGAGCACGTCATTCACATCATAGACTTTGGATTGGCCAAGGAGTACATTGACCCGGAAACCAAAAAACACATTCCCTACAGGGAGCACAAGAGTCTCACTGGAACAGCGAGATACATGTCCATCAACACACACCTTGGCAAAGGTTTGTCTGCGTGGAGGGAGCTTAAGAGTGTCCTCTGGGCTGGAAAAGCTCTCTCAGGTCATTGAGTCCAACAGTTGACCAGCACTGCAATGTTCACCACTAAACCATGTCTCCAGGTGCCACATTCACACATCGTATGAACACTTCCAGGCGTGGAGACTCCACCATTGCCCTGGGCAGCCTGCTCAATCCCTGACAACCCTTTCAGTGAATTATTTTCTCTAATATCCAACCTAAACCTTCCCTGGTGTTGCTTGAGGCTGTTTTCTCTTGTTCCTTTGCTCCCTGGGAGCAGAGCCCAACCCTGCCCCGGCTGCCACCCCGGCTGTCAGCAAGTTGTGGAGAGCCAGGAGGTGCCTCCTGAGCCTCCTTTTCTCCAAGCTGAGCCTCCCCAGCTCCCTCAGCTGCTCCTGGTGCTTCAGCCCCTTCCCTCTACACATTACAGCTTGCCATTTGAATCTTTTAGACCTCCCATAGCATCTTGGCTCAGCTCTCTTGCACCCTTCAAGCTATTTGTGAACCTCCCAGTACCGTTTGTGTTATGTGGCTTATTTTTTATCCTCCACTCCTTTGAGGAATTGAGCCAGCTGAAATGCTGGAAGCCTCATAATTACAGTTTTTATTAGGAGCTAAATAACTGGGAGCAGCCCTGCACTGATAAAGGACAAGCAGGCAGGCGGTGATTGCTGCACTGGATGATAGACAAATAGATTTTTATAGCACAGCACTGTCCCAGTGCCTTCCAGTTCCAGATGTTAAAGTTGGAGGTTCCCTGATCTAGTAATTGGTTGGAGAAAATTAACGGTTTAAACTTCCATCTCTCCTCACTGCTTTTTTTCCTACCAGAAGATTACATTTCTGTGGCTGAAAGGCAAAAAAACCCCAAACTTATTAAATGTTTATATTCTGTTAAATCCATACAAGCAGTGAGATAATGGAATATTCTCTAGGAGGCCTCGTAGCATGTTGGCTCCCTGTTGGAGAGCTCACTGTCTTTGGGGAGTAAAGGAGGGATGAGCCTAGCTTCTAATTTTGGAAAGTGAAGAGTCAGGCAGGGATGGAGGAATAGGAGGGCACAGTGGGAGCAGGCTGGGGAGCTGCTGGTGCAGGTGATGCAGAGGGAAGAAGTGTTTGTGTTTGAAGTACTCCATGTGCCTTCCTTAGCACCCATTTCCCACAGGATTTCAGCTCGCAGCATGGCTCATGCAGGGGAAGGGTCCAGATCAGTTCTGGGGATGTATTTGAGGGGCTGTCCCTGCCCAGAGGGATTGTGAGGAGCTGATGCTTCACTGGTGAGACCAGCCCAGCTGGAATCTGTCCTTTCACATTTCAAACTTAGGAGCCTGACTGCAGCTTTTCTGAGACACAGGTGCACTCAGCCATCTTCCTGGAAGTCCCATCTGCATCACTGCACTAAATTACCCAGGGCATCCTCTTTTTTTCCCCCCTTTCTATCAGGGTAACTGCAGGAACTGTGATTTCAGTTCTCTTCTCCCAAGTGTTCCCTCTCCCAGCATCTCCTGCAGGTTAAGTGGCTGGATCTGCTCTGGATCATGGAGCATGTTGTTGGGAGTAGGTGGTATTCAGAGGAGGGGAGGCTGTACCAAGTGAGCCCAAGAGCTCAGTGTGCCCAAGAATGCAGCTCAGCCCAGCCCAGTGTTGCCTCCACATCTGTTGCTCTCTTCCGTCCTCCCCTGGGATTTTGGATACATTTTGGGAGCTTGTTTTAGCTTACTTTGTCCTTTGGCTCCCTGTCCCTTTCCCCCCCCTTCATTTATAATGATAACATCTGCATGGCAGCAGCAGCAAGTGTTCCACAGTGCTGGAAGGAGCTATTTTTGATCTGCTCTGATGAGCAGCAGAGGCAATTGGGAAAGGGTTGGCACTGTGCAAGGGTAGATCCCTGCAGCTGGTTGTGAGTATCCCATTCCTATTTAGTCCAGAGGAAATGATCCAGCACCACATAGCACCATTGACCCTGGCAGATCAGAGAAGAATTGGGGCACTGTTTTATTCCTCTGCAGTTAAAAGTTGCTGTTCTACCTCAGGTTGGCATGTGTGTTGTGTGGTTCCCATGTTATCTCATGGCCTCTGGATAATTTTACACATTTTCTAGCTTTCTGAAATGCCTTCTGGTTTTGCACAAGATCTGAGCTGGAGACAGTGAGTGAACATCCCTGTGGTACCTTTATCTCAGATACAGGTGTGGCTGCTGCTGAGATCTCAGAGCCATTTCTGCTTCTGCAGCAATAATTTGTCATCTCTTCTCTTTTAGAGCAAAGTCGTCGAGATGACTTGGAAGCCCTTGGCCATATGTTCATGTATTTCCTCCGAGGCAGCCTGCCCTGGCAAGGATTGAAGGTAGGCTTGAGCTTTAGGTTTTGTCCTTTAAAACTTTGGCTAGTCTCTGCCTAAAGGAGAATCCACTGGGGAAATGTTGGCAAAATGCAGTCAGAAACACTGTCCTCTGTCTGCTTTGTGTCCTTGAAGCCTAACACCGAGGCATTAATCTTCAGGGAAGATTTTAAGGTAGAAATACATTATTTGGCACTTCAAGTTGCCAAATTAGTACAATTTTGGCAAGAAGGTTGAACAGAAAGACAGGGACGGCAATGAGAGAGAGCTGTGATTGGAAGCTGCCCCGAACTGGAGCATGACTGGGACACAGTGATTGTTTATGAAATTCCAGTTAACACAATCCCCCAGCTGCATCTGTGATCCGTGTTTATAATGGGAGCAGTTTGATGGGTTTAGATGCACAGATGGACTTCATCTTGAAAAACTGGTTTTCTGGCACAAGCATTGGACTTGGCTTCCCTCCAGAGACACTGGACACTCAGTGCTGGGGAGTTTATGAGATGCTGTGTACATTGTGGAGAGCTGCGAGTAATTGAGTTGCCGACTGCTGCCAACATCTATCAGCTGAGCTAACAAGGACTAAGTCATTTTCTGGCTCCAGAGCTGTTGGAAGCTGCATCTTCACTGCTCCATCACCTCCCTGATGATTAAGCTACTGTGTTCAGCTTTGGAATTGAAGGGAGTGAAGGGACTGTTCAGGTTAGAACAGGGAAGACAGGAGCTCTTGTTGGAAAAAGGAGCTAAGGCTCTGGATTCAGGAGCTGCTCGGCAGAGCTCTGCAATGGTCAGTGGGTGTAGACCCAGTTGGGTTGATAGACCTTGTTCAGCTGTTTTTCACCACCTATCCAGAGTTGGTCTCAGCTCAGCCTCATCAGGCACATGCCAGAAATGTTGGCAACTGCTTATAAAAGCCAAGAAGGGTTTTTCAAGCATAAAAGGGATTGTGAAAGAAATCAGTCTCTCTCTGATTTTATGTCCACGCCTCTCTGTAAGTGTGTTATTCTAGTACATATTTTCCTTCTGGCTTAGTTGAACTCATCTGCTTTAAATTAATCCTGTAAATTATTCTAAAATAATTCCAAGTTTATACAAAGTTCTACAAAAGTTCCTCAGTTGAGTGCTGAACTTGATAAGAATTAATTGACACCATTTTGAGATCCAGGGCAAGCACGGACACTCCAGCTGGATTTAGAATGTGGCATCTTTGCCCTTCTAGGTTTCCTTACACTCTTGGTCTGTACTGTCAGGGCTGTACCTGCAGAGAATGTCTACAGTGCTAATTGTGCTGCTGCCAGGTCTAATTGACATATTTTGAAATGGAGGCAAGAAACCTCACTTTTAGGGTGCCAGCTGGAGCAGAGTTCTCTGCCTCACGTTGATTTAGGTGGGCAATCCAACTGCAAATGGTTTCATTTCCTTGTTGACCAGATATGAAACCAGTACTGAATGATGGATGGTTTGGAGGTGAAAGGAAAGGCTGTGTGGGAGCAACCTGGGACTTGGGAGAAGTGGGACTGTTGTAGAGTCATTATCAAAGTGGTAACATCCTGTTGCACAGCAGAAAACCCAAATTGCTGTGCAATGGGTCTCTTCTGCAGTTGTTTGTGAAGGCAGCTCAGTGGCCCTAAGCCTGGGATGTGCCATCACAATTCATGCACCTTTATTTCCTCCTCCCATGAACTTCCTCTGCACAGTCCTCAGGACTGGGCTGTGAGAAATGAGCCGCTAATAAGGGTCCTGCCTTTCATGAACAAAGATGTCTTGAACATCCTTGGATGTTCTCTACCGATAGCCTGTGAAATATTCCTGCTGCTGTAGTCAAGGATGAAGTTCAGTTACAAGTAACATCTCCTGATGTCACCCAGAATGGGCATTAAAAACCTTGTTTTTCTTCCCATACAGCATGTCCTTTCTCATATGGTTGAACTCTTTCTCCACAACTGTTTTGTCTTTGTGCGCTGCAGGCTGACACCTTAAAAGAGAGATATCAGAAGATTGGGGACACAAAGAGAAACACTCCGGTTGAAGTTCTCTGTGAGAACTTTCCAGGTAAAGCCCTGATGGGACCATGTGAGTGCAGCTGGAGGTGGCCATCCCTTGTTAAATAGGATGGGCCTGAGCTCCTCTGTCAGAAGGTATTGGATGATGTGTATCCATCATGTTGTTCCTCAGGCTGGCAAACAACTGGAGCTGCTGCTATAAAATTAGCAGCACCTGGGGTCTCAAAATGAACAAAACTCTTCTCATCAAGGAGGCTGAACATTGCTCAAGGGCCTTGTATGCCTGCTTTATCTCTTGGCTTCCTTCCAGAAGAGCTCCTCATTACTTTCCCTCTCCCAAATGACCATGTTGGAACCACTGAGTTAATTCTTTTCCAAAAGGAAGGTTTTACAGGTGTTGCAGGTGTAGGTGGCCAGCTTTGAAGATGAGATGGTGTGTCTGTCCATGAATTCCACCTTCTGGGAGCAGTTTTAAGGAGAGTGTTACTAATGTGTGCTTCTAGCCAAGCCCAACACCTGATCTCCAGTTAAACAGACCTTGGAGGCGGGAGAGCAGGGTACAGAGTTAGCACCTTCCCCAGGGTCCCCTGGCCACAGAGTGGACTTGGGAGGTTTTGTGGAGGGGTTCTGAAGTCCTGACACCAGGGAGAGCACCCACAATTAATCCCATTCCTCTAGGAGCTGTTGTGCCACACAGCTCTTTCCCAGCATGAGGAGCAGCAAGCCTGGACATGAGTTCCTTCGGCTCAATAATCTGTGCATGCCAAGTGCAACCCAGATGCAGGAAAGCAATTAATTAACACCAAACCCTGGCCTGTAAATTAACCCTCTTCAGGTAAATTGACCTTAGAGCCTCCCCCTCTAGTTTAGTTTTGAATATTCAGGTGCTGCCAATGTAATGATGGGACACCTTCCACTATTCCAGGATGCTCCAAGCCCCTGTCCAGCCTGGCCTCGGACACTTTCAGGGATGGGGCAGCCACAGCTTCTCTGAGCAACAGCATTCTAAATGCCTGTGAGCAGTCTGCTGTCAGGTTCAGTGAGTTTATTTCTAACTGCTTATTTTTATACAAATGTATAAACTAAATCGAGGTGTGAAAGTCAGATTTGAGCAGAGGTGGGATTTCCATCTTTGTTCAAGAAGTGTTTGAATTTTTTTGTTGAGGACTGTTACTAAAAACCATGACTTGTAGGAGAACAGCCTGAGATAGCGCTGGCAGCCCAGACATTGGTTTCTATCAACTCATTGGGAAGATTGAGGATAAAAGCTGCTGCTTTTTCCCCTTTTCCAACAGAGGAGATGGCCACGTACCTCCGCTATGTCCGGCGGTTAGACTTCTTTGAGAGACCAGACTACGATTACCTACGGACCATCTTCACGGAGCTGTTTGAAAAGAAAGGCTACACCTTTGACTATGCCTACGACTGGGTTGGCAGGCCAATTGTGAGTTGTTCCTGCAAAATCCCATGCCTTGCCTTCCAGGTGCTGCTTCCCCACCATTGCCTTTTTGTTCCCAATAATCTAAATTAATGCCAGTGAGTTTAGGATCAAACCTTTCAGTGCTCAACACAGTGAGATGTCCTGATGTGTTCAGGGGGTTCTTGCAGTGCCTCAAAGTTTTCCTAATGGACAGAGGCCCCATCCCACCTCTCTGGATATTTAAGCCTCATTTTCCTATTTGTAACAATGAACATGATGAGACTGAATTCCCTCTAGTCTAGCACAGGATTGGTGACCAGTGTCTAAAATCCATTTTAAAGCAGGAGAATCACAGAAACCCCTTATAATGGTCATGTTCCCATCTAAAAGGTACAGGAGAGCGAGGCAGGGTCCTGATGGATGTTCAATGAACAGTAGAATCCCAGAATGGTTTGGGTTGGAAGGGATCATAAAGCCTACTTTGTTCCAACCCCCTGCCATGGGCAGGGACACCTTCCACTAACCCAGGATGCTCCAAGCCCCATCCAGCCTGGCCTTGGACACCTTCCAGGGGTGAGGCAGCCACAGCTTCTCTGTGCAACCTTGCCAGAGCCTCACCACCCTCACAGGGAGGAATTTCTCACAAATATGTAATGTAAACTTGCCCTCCTGAACTCAGAATATCTTGGTGGACACTCAGAGGCTGAACCAGCTCTGTACAGTACATGGCAAGGAAAAGTGGCAGAAACCAAGTTCCATTTAGCAGTTCCATGACTCCATGTGGACCATGACCCTGATCTCATTGCATCACTTTTTATTATCAAAACCTAGTTAAACACAGGAAGACCTTGGCCAAAGGATGTGTCATGGGTAAATATGGTAGAAGAATCTAACACACTTTATTTTGGGTTATTCTGTTCACGACCCACCCCAAAGACCAGTGATGACATCTGTAAATGAACTGTCACTGTCAGATCAAATGCCATCAGTGCTAAACTTGGTACCACTGCTGGTGCTTTACTGTCCCAACTATATTTAGCATTCCCAATACTTACTGTGCTCAACAGAGTTCCTAAGAAATCATTCCCTTTGTGAATCAAGATTTTCCTTCATTTTCCTTTAATTACAAAGGCAGTTGATAAAGAGCACCTTGTAAGACAAGTGTTCTATTGCTGACAACCACAGTGGTTGCCATGGAGATCTCGATGTTGGGAGCAGGGATTATGACTTTGGCGAGAAGAGAGCAGATGAAGCTTTTAATTTTAACACGTCCTGTTTCTATGCAAGCGTGATTTTTACAAGTGGTGAGACCAATGGGATGAGGAAAACAAGTCTGTATATTTTCAGTTGTAATAATTCTGTGTGAGACACACTAGATGTGATCCGACATTGAGACAGGCACCTAACTGTATATTCTTAATTAATTTTTATACAAGACATTTGGTGCTCGTGTCCACCATCAAATTTCATGTCTGTAAATCATAGAGATTTTATAGCCCTGTCTGTAGTTCTCCTTGGCTCTTTCAGGCAGTGGTTTGATGTTTTTCTGCTTCCTACTGGCTTGACAAAGCTGGGGTTGTGCATGTCAGGATCTTTGCCCTAACCAACACCTTATTTTCCAGCCTACTCCTGTGGGATCTGTCCATGTAGATTCTGGGACATCTGCAGTGACAAGAGACAGCCACATCCACCGGGATCGACCATCACAACAGGCCCTTCGCAATCAGGTGCATTGCTTGGCTCCTCTCCCAGTTCCTCTGGCACTGGAGAAGCAGAAGCCACATGGCATTATATGGCTCGGGCGGGCGGATTCTTGGTCATAGCAAAGATAATTCCTGCATTATTTAGAGATGGTGATTTGGGGAGAATTTTGTCAAAGCAACAGGTTTTTGAAATAAGGTATCAGCCAGTGGAATTCCTCAGTATCATGAGCCAGCCAGAGTCCCATTTAGAATGGGGTTGTTTTTCTGTAGTTTGCGGGTAAACAGGTTAAGGTTGATCACCAGCCTGGTTAGACTCCCTGACTACCACAATTTTTGAGGTGCTTTTACCCATAGCACATGGACCATGGAGCAGGCTGAGAGCTGTGCTGTGCTGATGGCAGCCTGTTCCCAGGTGCCCTCTGCCCACAGAGCATGCAGCTGTGACAGGGATGTGTGTCCCAAGAACAGCCACGTGTCCTTCTCAGAATGTCCAGTTCACAGTGTGAGTGTTGCAGGGCACAAAGGACAGGCAGGGCAGAACCCTCAGGAAGGCATCACAGTCTGGATGAACTGCCATAGGGAAATTGAATTTCCCATTATTTCCTTCCTTGTTGTACTGCTTTGTTGGTGTCGAGAGTTTGGGTTTTCTGTGTTAGCAGAATTGTCAGGCTTTCAGTAGATCTCCAGCTGCATCTCCCAGCTGGAGCTGTTGCTGCTCTTATTCCCTGGGAGTGGTTCTGGGCTTGTTCTGCTGCCCCAACCTCCATGTTCTGCTCAGTTCCTCAAGCTAGGGTTTGTGGGTACAGAACCGAGCATGGGCTGTCTGGGCTCAGCCTTCCTGGGCTCTGAATGGTCACAGAGCTAACAGAGGGTAGGATTCATCCCATCAGCTACAGTCCAGATGCCCCCTCCTTGGGCAGGGTTGCTGGAGGAAGCTGGGTTGTTTGCAGCACGTGTGCACAGAGATTAGTGTGGGCTGGTGTGTGAGCTCTGATGCAGTCATCTACTTTAATAAATTCCCTGATGGATGCAGTGACCCCCTGGTTTTGGGGGGATTGTTCAGCCAGTTTCCTATTGTCCACCTTGACCACAGACCTTCATGTTGTGTATGAGGCATTGTGTTTCCCTGACAGCACAGTGACACCTGGCTTCATTTTCAGGCATTTTAGTTCACAAAGGCCCAACGAAATCCCAAAATACACAGGCAGCCTGTAGGCCTTGTTCTTCTGAGCTGCACAGATAGTCCAGTTCCAGATTGCACAGCAGCTTTTGTCATATTTTCACTGAAACATTACTTAGGATGATGAATTATTTAATATAACATGGGGGAAATCAGGTTCTTCTCACCATAACACAAACAACTCTCTTCTGAGGGATGTTCCTTTAAAATGTTGAGCAAAGCATTTCTCTAAAGGAAAAAGGCAAAAATAAAAAATGTCTTGAGAAGTGAATTGGAGGCCAGGGCTTGGGTCTCCAGATTTAATGGCCTAATTTTTGTTCTTGGGGGTGTAATAACTGCAGATTCTCTCTACCAATATTTGACTCCTAGTAAAGAGCTAATGTGGAATCTCCTCTTTGTAGCTTTTTCCTCTGGAAAGTGAAAGATTTTAATCAAAGATGAGTGAGCTCTTCCCCCTCTGTCTTTAGTCTTGCTATGTGATTTGGAAGCTGGTAGCAGGGTGATGAGTGTTAATGGGAACTTGATGCTCCCAAGCTGTATTGGGGAACATTTTGGTTGGATATCAGGAACAGGTTCTTCCCCTAGAGGGTAGTTGGGCACTGAGCAGGCTCCACAAGGAATAGTCACGGCTCAAGGCTGCCAGAGCTCCAGGAGTGTTCAGACAATGCTCTCCGACACAGGGTGGGATTGCTGGCGAGGCCAGGACTTGGACTGATGGTCCTTGTGGGTCCCTTCCAGCTCACAATGTAATATTCTGTTCTGTTCTGTTCTATTCTGAATTTCATGGCATCACTTCCTTGGTGCCACTCCTTAGGTTGTGTTGGGCTCAGCTCAAGCCAACTTCAGACTGAGTTTGTCATGTACTTGGCTGTAGAGCTAAAAGGGACAAATCTGGCTCTTGTGGCTACTGGAGCCTTTCCTGGAAGTTGGTTCCAGGTTCCCAGGCAGGAGCTCCCAACACTGATGTAGCTTCATTGCCTGGACTAGTCCCTGATATTGTGAAAGAATAGCACTCAATATGTGCTTTCCACTAGCTCATAAAACTTGCATTTAAATTTTCCAGTTGTTCCTAATCTTGTGAATTACAGCCATTAAAAAATATTCCAAGGGAGATGATTCTTCTTTGAATGTCACCAAGGACAAGAGGTGTGAGCAGCATCTCAGGCTGATGGAAAGAATGTGTAATGAGAATATTTGATAAATGAGATGATCTTAAGGTCCCTTCCAACCCACCCTGATCTGTGACCCTATGACAAAACCACCTCTAGGGAAATGGCACTTGGTTTTGGTGCTTGCTTGGAAGTGCAGCCCCATGGGTCACTCTGTGAGGCAGACAGAGCAAAAGGAACAATAATGGATGTTTTATGGAGGCTTCTCTTAATTCTCCTATTTTTTGCATGTGCTCCTGCTTTAGTTGAGTGGCAGTTTACTAGTGATTGTTGAAGTTTATTCTAAGGTTTCTGGAGGTTTCTCTGGGTGCACTTCCACTGCTCACAACCTGGGTTTATTCGCTGGAGTATCTTGTTTCCTGGCCAGATCCATGGTGTCTCATTCAGCTGAGGCCTGAGGCCAACACAGATCTGTTTGTCCCATGCTTCCCAGTCTTGGGAAGCGTTCTTCCCACTGGTCAATTGGGTTCAGATGTGCTGAGATCCTCCTGGCTCTTAGGTGAGCACTGGATACGTTGGCATCCAAGCTGGGTGACTGTCTTGGTTTGAAAGGTGTCTGCCAAAGAAGGTGAACCTCCCTTGGAATGGAAAAAATATGACCCCCCTTCCCTCTAAATCATTATGATTTTGAAATTATGGGGCCTTCAGGCAAAGATACAGGGAAAGGAACAGTAGTTTTTTATTAGTATTTATATGTGTTACAAGACAGACAACCAACCCCGGCAGCAACACCCAACAGAACCGGAACCAGTCCGGCCTCTCCCGCAGAATAGAACAGAACCAGAACAGAACAGAACACCAAACAGAGCAGAACAGAGCACTGAACAGAACCAGAAACAGTCCTGGCTCTCCCAGCAGAACGGAACACTGAACAGAATAGAGCACCAAACAGAACAGGACACTGAACAGAACCAGAACAGAACAGAACACCAAGCAGAACAGAACCAGAACAGAACACCAAACAGAACACTGAACAGTACCAGAACAGAACAGAACACCAAGCAGAACAGAACAGAACAGAACACCAAACAGAACACTGAACAGAACCAGAAGCAGTCTCGCCTCTCCCAGCCAAATAGAACCGAACAGAACCGGAAGCAGTCCCAGAGCGCCCAGCCGTGGGCACTCCCCCTTGGTGCAGTTCCAGGCGCGGCCACCAGGGGCGCTGCTGGCTCCCGGCCGGGCAGGGCA